TGATCCTCTTTCCGTTTCCGTCATTCATTCCTTCTTCCTGGAAACGCCTTCTTTCCTGCTTCTCTTGGCCCACTCTCATCCCACATCCAGGCCTTGAGGTGTAACACGCCTGTGCTACCTCCCAACCCTTCTTTTTTTGTAGTTTGAGATTGGGTTTCACTGAGTTGGCCAGGCTGGGCTGGAACTCGTGACCTTCTTGCCTGAGCCTCGAGGAGGGCGTGGATTACAGGCCCCTAGTGTGGCTTCCCAGCACACTTTATCTTCCCTGCCGCTGTTCTTACTGACCTTCAGTTGTTGCTGTGTCTTCTCCGTAAGGAGCCCGTGGAGACTGAAATGATGTTGTCAGGAATTGAATTTGGTCCACCTCACTGATATATTGAATGCGGATAATTCTGAATGTGATGTATTTGGGGACAGAATCTTTAGAGACATAATCAAGTTAAGATGAGGTCATGCTCTGTCAGCGGAGACCTACTCCAACATGAAGGTTGTCCCTTTAGGAAGAGAAGAAGTGGCCCCACAGATATCTAAAGGGAGAAACCACACGAGAGCCTCACAAGGAGCAGCCTGGACCTCTCTCAGAAGGGAAATTGAAGGAATATGTGAGACATAATCCACTCCTGGAGATCTCATAGGCAGTGTGGCCCTTGAGTTTGAATTTCTACTTTCTAGAATCATGACACAGCATACCTCTCTTTCTTAAGCCACCAGTGGCTGGCTTTTTCACAGACACTGGAAAACGAATGCAGATACACTTTCACATCTACAGTGGCTTGCACAATGCCTCCCAGGTGCAAGTTTAAATCAAGTAAAATTATACTGGGCTGAGCTGAGATGTAAATTATTTATAAAAATGGTATAAGTAGGCCCTGTGTAAGTTGGGCATGGTGCCACATGCCTAGAACTCCAGAACTCCCAGAGGTTGAAACAGGCAGATCACAAGTTCCAGCGAGACCCTATCACAAAATTCAAAATAATAAGAGCTGGGTATGTACCTCAGTGTGAAGGCCCTGAGTTCAAACCCCAGTAGCACAAACAAACAAAAATTGACAATGCAAGCATTCTTGCAGAAATTTAGTCTTTTCTTCTTCATGCACCACCTCATTCAGTTCTGCATCCCCAAACTTAGCCTCTTCCCTTTCCCATCCACATCCTGCAGTTGGTGTTTTCTATAGCTGCATGTTTTCAGCCTGGTGAAATCTATATGTAAGCGTTTTTTTTTTTTCTTCTTAGGAGAAGAAAACAGATATATTCACAGATATATTCCAAGAATTCCAAATGGGAAGAGCTATGAGACTACCAGGCCCAGGGTCCCAACATTATGTGCAGTTGTTGTGTTATTGAAACAGAGCAAAAACACAAATAAACCCTTCAGACTTAATGTGCTGCAAACGTTTTTATTTGACTTTAAAATCACCAACTTGAGAGGTCACATAGCTAAAGAGTATATTATCTGCCATTTGATTTGCAATGGATTATATGTTGACAATACAGCTCAGGATGTAATGGTTGTGTATGTTGTTTTTCAGGACTCTTGAGATTGCCTTTGTCTAGCTCAAACTGGTGGAAGCCACTGACCCTTCCCGTGGGCCTGCACAAACATCCTGTGGGTGACATTGGAGGGCCCGACTCCATCCTCAGGGTCATTTTTCTGAACGTGGGTCCTATGAAAAGCCTCGAAGTTGTCTACTCATGCATAGACTACGGATTACTTCACTATTCCTTACATCCAATGACCTTCTCCAAGCCTGAGACAGCCCTATCCCCTTTCCCATAAACACCTCTTACTCTCTGTCCTGGGGGAGATGGATTTGAGGTCTCACCTCAACTCACCCTTGGCTGACTCATGAACAAATTCTCTTCACCAAAACTCATATTTTCAGCAACTCGCATTGTGCCTGGTGGATGAAACAGGACTGCATCAAAGACATTGTTACCCTAGTTGCTACAGAGAAGTACACAGAATGGCAAGTTTGCATTTCCAGATACCAGGGTAAAAACATACATGTATTCCTCCTTCCATTTCTCCTGTCTCTTCTTTTTTTTTTTTTTTTTTTTTTTTTCGGGGG